GGTAGTTAACTGAAGCTCAAGGGTAAATTAAACCCCAGACTCTCATGTTATGTGGTTATATTCACTTATACACATTTATCTGACAGATGGGGCAGCTGAGGAGTCTAGATGTTCGGGGACACGAAGCACTTAACCCTTTGTTTGCCTTGGTGCACAGACACCGTCTTAGCCGTGAGAGCTCATCACGGCCTTCGCAGTGATGTTGGTTACGTGTGTCCTCCAGCATCCCAGTGACCTGACAAAGAACAGCAAAGAGCTTTTCACGTCTTTATTGTTGTTCCGTAAAGTCAAAGACAGTCGTCATTAAGTATAAATTCTGTGTCCCTTTCTGATGCATGGAACAGTCTTGGCAATTTGTCAGATTCATATTTTTAAAATACTGTGGTTTTGGAAGAGTAGTTAAGTCTATTTCACATTTAATTTCCTGGGAGTTTCTGCGAATGGGAAAGATGTTTGCTCAGGAAACGAGAAGGAAAAGTATTGCATTTGTAATAAATTGTCGTAGTATTACCAAGCGATGGCAGCGAATAAGGACTTGGGTGGCTAAATGTCCTGATTACGATGACGGTACAAAGCCATAATTTACAGGCGATTATCCGTTTTAGTTGATGTCTGTTCACGTGGAAAGTATCGTTGCAGAATTCTGGTGATGCTTTCAGTATCATCCTGTGTAATCGTGTGTTACAAGCCAGACACTTCACTGTAACTGTATCGCTTAGAAAATGAGTATGGGAATCATAGTCATATTGGACTTCACGAACAAAGCGGAAGGATGTTTTTTAATGTCAGAACTCACCATTGGGGGATTGGACACGGCACATTACTGGGTTTATTGTCACAAACTCTTTTGAAAGAAATTTAGCGTAGGAATCAAGAATCACTAAAGTGACAATTCCGTTTGCCTCAGAAATCCCATTCTGACTCTGTCAGAAGGCAGTATTTCAAAATCTGGGAGAAGGATTTCAATGTAATGTGATAGTGACAGAGATTTGGCACAACCTAACGTTGGGACACAGGAAAATTGTAAATAATTCACAGCACATGCCCTCTGTGCACTCTCCTGCACCATAGAGACGGTTCAGTGATTCCGTGGTGTAAAAAGTTGTCTATGACAAAATGTTAGTGGAAATCTAGGCATAGAGCTCTCTGTGCATTGTGCACACGGCTGAGCGTGTGGGAGGGAACACGCCTGGGAGTTGTTCTGTAAAAGCACGAAGAAAGTTCCTGCAAAGAGGGTGCCGCGCGGTTTTCTCCAATCTTAGTAAAAGAGTTTTCCTGTGATCTAAATGTAAAAATAACTTCAGAAGAAAAACACTTATATCATATTCCACCTACCTGTTGCCTAAAGTATTTCCAGTTTTGCAAACATTGCCTGATAGACTTTGATCTTTGCAAGCGCAGGAGTTTTTAAATCCATCTATTTATTCATTAGTTGATAAATATTAACATAAGGTAATTTTAATAAAATATTGAATTAAGTTTCTAATTATCTTATTACGGACAATCAAATAAATATGTTAATGTATTATATACATTAATCAAGAGATAATTTATGAAGACAGTTGTAAATGCTTATGTTGATAGCCAGTGTTCTAAAAATTTCAGTAGTTTTGGCTTTATAAAAACTTAACAAGGACTATGAGATATTCAGTTATTGTTTTCCATGTTCTTTTTCCAAGAGCATCTAATCATTTTCAAGACATTCAATAATAATTAAAAACATTTGCTAATAAGTGATTTCATTTTATTTGGAAAGGAAAGCTATTTAAAAATAAATTCTAGGTTTCACATGGTTAAGTGATATAGCAGTTAGAAAGGTAAAGAAATATATTTACATCTCAGTGTGTGGAGTGAAATAATGCATTTGCAGTATTATTTCCTACATAACAATATCTAATACAATGATCACATAAGAGATTTTAGCTGTTCTTGCACGTAGTCCCAGATTTTTAAATAAGCATTTTTTTGAGATTTAAGAAATGGAATCGAAAGGATACCCTAAGAACTTATTAGCAGAATAATTAACATCAGTGATTTCTGTCACTTCTGTGTTCATAAAATTAAGAAACTCTCATACGTCAGTTGTGATGGAATATCATGAATTAGTCATAAAGAGACTACAACCTGAAAATTGGGAGGAAGTTACCGGATTTGATAGAAGAAAATATATAAGCTCCTCTACAAAAATCAAAATGTAATGTGCTACACTGATTCCACAGTCTATTTAAAGAAAAATATAACTTAAGTAATATTTTTAAAGCAAATGAAGAAATTAGGAATATCAAAATAGGACTGTTTGAACATTATATGGAATTATGTGTCTATGTCTTCTTTTAGCTAATTGAGACTACAGTGACCCAGGCATTTTCTAGAAGATATGTTGCCAACAATGTATTACTGTTATTTTCTTGGACTGAATGAAATCTGTTATTACATGAACAATAATTATTTACTTTATATGACAATAAAGCCAAACTTAATTTGATATGATATTATAGTTGAACACAAGTTTTCAAGTCTGCATGGGTGTACATGACACAGTTTGCTTATAAGTGGTGAAGAAAAGTTAGCTATCTGCTCAGAGCAAAGTTATTTTTCTTTAAATAGGTTAAACATAAAGGAAATATTAGTAGGACTTTATTATTATTATTATCATTATTTTGAGACAGGGTCTCACCGTTATCACCCGGGCTGGAGTACAGTAGCTCGTCACAGCTCACAGCAACCTCAACTTCCTGGGCTCAAGCGATCCTCCTGCCTCAGCCTCTCCAGTGGCTGGGACTACCATGAGAGGTGGTGAGCTACCACTCCTGGCTGATTTTTTCTATTTTTGGTAGAGACAGGGTCTCGCACTTACTTGCTCAGGCTGGTGTCAAACTCCTCACCTCAAGCAATCCTCCTGCCGCGGCCTCCCAGGCTGCTAGGGTTACACGTGTGAGCCACCACACCTGGCCTAGTAGGACTTTATACATGTAAAAACAGCAACATCTGGGAACCTGACATGGTTTTAAAGTGTAATTGTAGTATTCATTATTTGGGTACAATGTAACAGATGACTTCAGGCAACAGGAGTTGAGCACGGGCTTTCTACCACCTTTAGGCAGCCCTGTATTAACAGCAAGACTCAGTTACGACTTCTGCAACAGTGAGAGGAGAATTTGAAGAATAAATCTCATTTAATAGGACTCTCCCTCAGGAATAAATTTAATGGGAATGGGATCTGACTATTAGTGATGAGCCTGGTGACTTGCTCAGAGGCAGAAATGGAATAAAACCTGTTTCCTGACTCCCAGTTTGTTTGTCTGTCGCAGATGTAGGAGTCAGATAAAATAATTTGTTTACTGCCGTCTTTGTAGCTCAAATTCAAGTGCTTTCAGCTGACAGCTCCTCATCTGATCTGCCTTTCACTGCGTACGGATGTTTCTTTGTAACTGTTCTTGTACACGGTTTTTCTCATAGAATTGTTGTCGATTTCTGTAGATGAAATTCAACCTCATATGACTCCAATAAAACTTTAAATATCAATGTGATTAATTATAAATAGTAACACTGCTACAACTTTCTCGTATGATTTTTCAGTCCCGCTGCCAAGTTTTCATTATTAATGAAGTTTAGATATCCGCATGTTTATCGAAAGAGCAAATTGTCTCTTTTGTATTAATAGCTCTGAGTAGAGTTTCTCTGTGCTTTTTTGAAGGTGGTTATGTGCTCAGCCGTTTTGTGTGGAATCCGTGTGTGCTCTGCGTGTGGCATGCACGTGTTTGTTTCAGGTCCTGAGTACTTAGTCTGAGGGTATCTGCCCCTGTGTGTTTCCGCGCTGCCGCACGGACCATTGACTTCTTTCTCCTACAGATAAGGAAGCTTTCTGCAAAGAGAAAATTTTTATTTTTGAATCTTGCAAGAACTCGATACGGGTTGCCGCTTCAGTTCCGCCCAGTATGTATGACTCATGGACTGAGGACCTCTGGTGGTGTCACGGGGCTGCTGCCGCCTCCGACGGGAAACACCCCTTCGTTTTCCCTAACGGGGACCCTTCCTTTGCCTAACATGGGAAGGGAAAGCAGATACGTCCCTTCCAAAGAAGGGGGCTAACCTCCACCTGCAAAAAATAAATGTTTTTATTTCTCCTGCACAAAACATTTATTTCTAGCACTAATCAAAACTACTTCTCTTTATTTTGTGTCTAGTGTATGAAAATGCCAGAAAATTTCAAATAAATTATTGGTAGAATTATCAGTTATTAAATTTATTATGCAGACACCATGAGAAATGTTCAGCGTTCTCCCTCCTTTGGATTTTCATTCTTCAGAACAGAAAGCTGCTGTCCTAAGAGGAGAAAGGGGAAGTGAAGACATAAGTCAGTTATGTTTGCTCACAGCTTGTCCTCAGTTAGATGACCTTTCATAAATCACAAATCTAGAATATATAATTTGCAGAACTCATCTTTTATGATGTTGCTATTTCTCATCAGCATAAATAATCCAAAATTGCATTCGCTTTAATTGGAATAATTAACTCCTGTTCGAACAAGTAGTTTTAAAACCACCACACTGTATTCGCTACTCCCTAGAAAACTTAAAATATTGTTCAAAGTACAGCTTTTTTTGGATCTGCATGATATAAAACATCTGATAATTTAAAGTATTCCAAAGATTTCCTGAAATTTTCTCTTTTCATATGACTGTTTGACACACAGAGGCACAGTTTTACCTGCTATGTTTTTAGACATAACTTTCCTATGCTGCTCTTAGCTACTGTTGTGATCAGTCCAGTTTTGAATTTTAGCTAAAATTTAGATTAACCCATCAATATATTATAGCAGCCTAACTGATGACTAAATCAGACAATATCCGATGTGGGGAGGAGGGCGGGAAACAATGATAAGCTGGAGAAGTAAAGAGTACAGACATTTGGACAGTAATGACTCGATAAATAATAATAATAACTCTTCTTCGTCCCTTTCTGATATCTCTTCTCCTTCCTCCTCTTCCTCTTCTTTTCTCCTTCCAAAAATTATTTTGAAATTACTATTTTTCCAGCACAATATAAATATGAATAATTGGCCACATAGGATTGGTTTTACTTTAGATTTTATTCTTCTTTAGTGACATTGCCCTAGGTCGGTTTATGTCCTATCAAACCTTGAAACTAATTATACTTGGAAGCACAAGCTGGTGACTCCACACTTCCACTGGAATGAAGTTCAGACATTAGGAGTATTTTATGTTTTGGAAAATTTTTCATTATAAAATGATCGTGCATTTAAACACCCAGCAGCAATGCACGTGCTACTGAATAGTACGTGTGTCCATGTCTGTATTTGAACATTTCTGCATCTCTCCCGCGTGGCAACTTCAACAGCCACTGATACAAGGGTGACTCTGGTGGCCTCTGCCTCAGGGGCGGGTCTGAGCATCCACCTGCTTACCCGTCAGTGACAAAGATGACTGATCTTCTCTAAGCTGCTTTGCCTACACTCGCTAGGTTTCCAAACAGCTCTCAAAATCCTGGTTGACTCGAGTACAGCTAAAGCCTGGGCTGTCAGGTCTTACTTTAAGTTCACAAAACCACTGTCATATAAATATTTTCGTAGGGAACATGGGTCTATTTCAGAGTAATTCTGGCACCAGAGTGTTTTTAATCAGCTCTTTTCATTTGACAAAGATAAGGTGTATTTCTACATTCACTCATGAGGAAGCATTTTTCAGACGCTTCTTAAGTAAATAGCCTCTGAAAAGTTACAGTAAAATGATAAATTCAAATAATTTACTGCTTAACTGTCAGAATTAGAAAACGCAGGTGGGGGCAGTGTGTGTTCCACCCACTGTTCTGTGTGGCCTGTCATGGTTTATGGACTGCTGTTCTCACCTGCTGATATAGTTAAGGGAATGCAGGTTTGAAATCATGATAAATTGCTCTAAAATTAATTTTACAAAGTTAATTCTCTATTAACTTCTGATTTTTATACATTTTTGTGTTTGATGCTCTTTTAAAGAATAATTTTCTTTATTCTACTTTTATTCTACTTTCTTTATTCTATTCTTTGTTTGTTTTTTACTTAGTCTCCATAGTACGTGTAATGAGTAATGGAAAAAAAAAGAGTAATGGAAGTGTCAAGGATAGGGAGAGAACACAGAAGTCACAGATATACTGGTTCTGATACATCCTTTAAAAACTGAGATTGCCCCTGTGCATTCGAAATGGTCTGCTACAGCCAATGCGCTAATCCCTCCTTGAAGCACGTCTGTGCTGGTCCTCTGATCAGTCTCCCCAAGTGGAGACACGGATGCATCTTTAAAAGCTAGTATCAGATTCTTTGATAAAAACGTCCTCCCTACACCTGTTTCCATAGAACGAATATCGATTTGATAAAAAAGCGAGAGCAGCGTGCTTTGTGTGCCACCGTGAGCTCGCCAGCGCTCACTAGAAAACCAGCTCAGGGTAAGATTCGAACCCAGCCTACCTTCCGTGACTGTAAAACATCCCTTTTGCTCTCCCGTGTGGCAGTGGTGGACGTCTGGGTGACGTGCCACCCAAGTGTGTGTCAGGAGCCATCTGCCAGGTTCGACTTCCACGGACAAGCCAGCCACGGGTGGGATGGCGGCCGAGTGACGGCGCGGTGGCAGCTGCCTCACGCTGGACCGACTGCTCCTTGGTCTCGCTTGGCTTTTTCCCCGGTAGTGAATTTGTTGGCTGCTTCTTAAAGCTCACGTTTCCTGCTCTAACCTTCACTCCTAGCACACGAAAAGCCCTGTTAGGGGTTACTTACTAATAAAATGGTCTGCCAGAGTAGATTTGTTTGCAGTATGTAAGTTAAGTTTCTTCTTTAGAATAGTCTAATGATGCTTTTTTTTGTCTGGGAATGTTATGAAATGTCCAGATTCATTAATGCTAAGCACAACTGCACAGTTAACGAAAAAAAAATCAACTACAGTAGTTACACTGAGTGATTTTTTTAAAGTGATTACATACAAATCTTGGAACCTTGTTTAGCCTCCGTCTACACACCATGGTTGATATATTGGATGATTTCCCTCTACTTAAATACTATCCCTCGCCTTTATTCAGACTACACACATTTTAAATTTCTTTTTCAAAACTAGCAATAAATGCTTAGGATTAATTTGGAAATTATCTGTTGATGTCCCTTTTCTTCTGTTCAAAACTTCTACGGCAGCGTAGGTCGGGAGAGGCTTGCAGCCTGTCAGGTAGCACAGTGGTCGTGGACACCCAATCCATGGTACGAGGCTTCAAGCTAAACAAGGAAGGGGTAAAACTAAGAAATCATACATTTTTACTGTTTTATGCTGGGAACAGGAAAAGCTGTGACTTGGTTTACCCTTTGCCATTGTTAACCACAACTAATGACTCTTCTTTGATGTCCTTTGTTTTTAAAGTTACTTGCTAAACCCTGGGTTTATCTCTTTGCCAGACAAAGACGAATGCTCCAAGGACAACGGCGGGTGTCAGCAAGACTGTGTCAACACCGTGGGAAGCTACGTGTGCCAGTGTCGCAATGGATTTGTGCTGCACGAGAACAAACACGACTGCAAGGAAGGTACGGGGAGGAACACTCTTTCCTCGATAACACGCAGAATTTCATGCGATTTGGGTGCCACACGGCTTCTAAGTAAAGTTAATCACGTCCGTGAGTGATATCATGGTTGACTGTTCAAAATGTCAAAAAAACAGTTCTGTGCAGTGTTCAGAGATCCAAGGCAGGCTGTTGGGTGGGCACTTCACACGTAGGTGACGTTGAGTCGCTTTGTGTGACAGACACAGACGGTGCTGCGGTGCCATCTGGGAGCCAGAACAGCCCCATGCCATCCCCAGGTCTTTGTCGAACAGACCTTGTAAGACTATCCGTCTACACACTGAACTTCTGCTAAATGCTTTGCCTTTCGTGTAATATCCCTCCCAGAAATATCCTGTGCGTGTGCCACATGAGCGACGCCCCTTTAAATGCCACGAGTGTCAGACTCAAATGCCTGCCAAAGGAAGGACATTTGCAAATGGTAGCTGCTCTGCCGTTTAAAGTTTTAAGTTATGGTCTTGGCCCAAAAATCTGTGCTGGTAGCACAAGGGCACCTACCAGATTCTGTCCCCGAGGCCTTACAAAATTCCAAGATTTCTTAAAAACAATGATCTTAATCCCCTCAGCCAATACGCACCAGATGGAAACAAAAAACACTTATTCAGTTCTTATTTCTTCCTCCGAGGGTCTGCTCTTGACTTTTCTACTTAAATTTGGTTTATACCTCCTTTGAAAGGAGAATCGTGAAGGCAAATTTTATAACTCTAGTCATCAGCATATAGAACCACAGTTAGAGAACAGCTTTTTGCATACATATTAGAATGATATTCTAACGAATGTAATATTCTGATAATCAAATAATCAGAGCATGTTCTGAATTGACCCTTGTTCCTTTCAAGCATGATCACGTTAGTGATCTTTTTTCTTTTTTCATTGAGATAATGGCATTGTGCAGAAGCACAGGCAAGCAGAGTTTTACTCTGCCTCTACTTTCATGTATGAACAGGATATTTGTAACTTAGCAAGATGTGCTATTAAATCAGTAGGTTGGGCACAAGTCCAGGTTTGGGGGCTTTTTTTGTTGGTTGGTTTTGTTTTTTGCAGACATGGAAGGCAATTCAGAGAAAAAAATGAGACAGCTTTTGCAGATTATATTCATAGCCCATGGCTCACGGGTAGCAAAGACATCTCTGATCATTACAGAGGCTGATCTTTTCCATAAATGATTTTACAGGAAGCATCATTCTAGATGTAATGACATCCAGGTGACCCCTGAATGAAGTTCTTTTCTACCACTGGGAACGGGTTGGGTTTTCCTTTACCTGCACTACGTTATTCCGTACGGCTCAGCGGGAGCCTCTGAGCTTTCTCTTGGCCGTTTGCCAGACTCCGCAGACCCCACGCTGCGCGTGGCCAGGCAAAGGCAGGGGCAGGGGAATTCAGAACACCCTCGTCATCAGTGGAATCAGACTTTTAAAGCTGTTGTCTTGCTACCGTCCTCCTAGATTGTTTGACGGGCTGAATTTCACCCTCCTCTCTTTTGTATTCCTCTGTGGCAAATGCACGTCTCTCCGCAAACCCAGCACGAGGAAGACGAAGTCTAGGATTAAGGGACGCCGCAGCGGCAGGGTGACAGGTGCACCGTCCCAAACAGATTGCTTGGAAAATTTTAGAAAACTATTTTTATTTTAGAATAGAATACACAGCATGTAACAAATAATCCCAGTCTAAACAGGGATGTATAGGGCATAGCTTCATAAGTTGTATAGAATGAACACAGCCGGAGGATGTGAAATATTTTTGAAATCTGCTGTTAACAATGTGGAATGGTCTTGTCTAAAATGAGGATATTTTAGTTGTGAAAGAAACTAAAAAACTTATGCTAACTGAATGAGATATGCTTTGAAGTTAGTTCGGGAAGCTACCCCCAGGGCTAGAAGCTGTTCACTTATTTTCCCTTTAGTGCTTCCTTTTGCTTTGATGAAATTAGGGCTAGTTTGTCTCAGTAGCTAAAATTATGACTGACACATTCAAGTGTATACTTAGCTAAGGGAGAGAGCAAATGTAAATACATGATTCATAAAGTTCCTTAATGATGTTAATTAGCTGTAAATGATGTTCCCGTTAATAGAAAAAAAAAGGAACTGAAAACGGCATGACCATCGCTTGTTCTTTGTGGCATTGCATTAAATATTTTGCACAAAGCCAGTGTTAACGTTCTCGATTGTCAACAGACGTTGCTGCTCTGTTAAGGTCTGAGCTGCAGACCCCCAGTTTAAAGCAGGAGTTCATTTTCTTTTGGGCATTTATCCGATTCGTGGTGAACACTTAATTTCACGTGGGGCAGACAGCGGACGCTGCCTGCTGCAGGCAGCAGCCCGTCTCCCAGCGCGGAAGGCTGTGGCGGCAGAGCCTGGGCGGCCATGGCTGGTGGGAGGTCTCGGCGGGCGGCGGGCGCACGGGCTGCGCGGGGCTCTGCACTGACCGTGTCCTGGTTCTTGGCGCAGCGGAGTGTGAGCAGAAGATCCACAGCCCCAGCGGCCTCATCGCCAGCCCCAACTGGCCGGACAAGTACCCGAGCAGGAAGGAGTGCACCTGGGACATCCGCGCCACCCCCGGCCACCGCATCAGACTGGTACGTGGGCGCGGCCTCCCGTCCCTCCAGCTGGCTGCCGTGGCTTCCGTGCACTCGGAAATACTAGAAAGGGAGTGTTCGTTTAATTAATTGAGCCGGCAGGCGGCTGGAGAAGGTTTCCCTCTCGTGCCGTCCTGCCCACACCAAACAGACCCTTGATTTCCTGGGTCAAGGTGACACTGCCCTGTCCTCCAGATTCTCTCATCCTGGAGGCTTTTTGTGTTTTTTCTGAGACGGGGTCTCGCTGTGTCACCCAGGGTAGAGAGCAGTGATGTCATCACAGCTCACTGCAGCCTCGAAGTCCTGGGCTCAAGTGATCCTTCCGCCTCAGCCTCCCGCGTAGCTGTTTTTAGTAGAGACGGAATCTCGCTCTTGCTCAGGCTGGTCTCGAACTCCTGGGCTCAAGCGATCCTCCTGCCTCAGCCTCCCTAAGTGCTGGGTCTACTGGCGTGAGCCACCGAGCCAGGCAGATCTTGGATGCTTTAAAAGGAGTTACCAAAGTCACTGCAGACAGGACGCTGTACCCCCTAATATGTTACTGGTAATGACATTTCCAAATGTGGAAAATAAATGAAGTAACAAAAGAAAAATCGGAAATTCAGCTAGAAAGTAATAGAATGATAATAACACATTAACTGCCACGTGAGTTGTATGTAACTCACGCTAGTTTTGAGCCCAGGGCCTCGTGAAGCATATGTAACTCACATGTCTCTTCACCTTGGGAGCCGCGCGAACTATTTTTCAAGTTGCATATAACACACAGAAAACAATAAAAAATAACAAATTTTTCGTTAAATTAGAAAGGATCATTTTGTTTTTGAAATTTTTATTCTATTTTTGTAACAAAACACCATGGCCCCAAGGAAAAAACGTTTTTCCCCTTGTGGTAGACAACGTGTTAAACACAACATCGTAAGTTCTACTGGTTGCACAAGTTCCGTGTGCCTCACATGCAAAGCACATGTGTTTTCATAATAAAATCCACTTCGTCCTGTGGTTTGTAGAATATTGTTAATATTTTGGGTAACGTATTGACCCCTGTAGAAGGACACTGGTGTTTTACCCTGCACGCGTAATTCGAATGTGAACGTGATGTATGTCACCTGCCTGTGTGCTCCGAGTCCTGCCTGTCACGTGATCGTAAGCGTTAAATCTCATCCTAGGCTACAGAGTGCTTGGAGAGTATGATCTAAAGAAATAAAACCGCAGGACTCTAGACGTTCTAAGAATTTCCCGCAATGCGCTGTGTTCAGCAGCGGGAAGGAATGCGGCTGGCAAGGCCCCGAGCCCGGCAGGCTCTCAGCAAAGGGCAAGCGTTGTCCGCAGAGCGAGAGTCTGTTCCGGTTCAAGGCCACTCTGGGGACCGGTCCAGCCGTGAAGCTATTTTTAAAATTTTCTATGGGGACCCTTCTCTCCAGTGAATTTTTTCTTTTTGGTCAACAAAGAGGCTTTGTCCCTACATGGCATTATAACAAAATCAGAGACAGCCACCGGGCCGTTCCTGTTCCCAGCTTGGAGCTGCTTGCAGTCGCCAGACTTGTGAGAGACGTTCCAGGCAGAGACATCCGAGCCAACGCCGAGATGCGCGAGGACAGCGCCGGCTGCAGTCCTGTCCAGGGTCCCGGCTGAGCATTGCGGGCCGCAGTGTGGAGGCCACATTCTGTTCTGATCAGCGGCGCAGGTGGCCAAGGGAGTTGGGAAAATAGGTTTTAATGAAGACATTTCTTTGTGCAGATCAAAAATTTGTTTGGCGTCGTATTCCTTATCTCTGAAGAACTTCCTTCTATAATGTGTCTAGAGCAGGTCTAATAGCACTTTTGAAAGACATTTTCATGTAGACAGAACTTAGGATGGTAATTCTCTTTCTGCATTTGAAACACCTGACTCTGCTATTTTCTGCCTTTTATAGATTCTTATAATTCTGATGTAAATCTTATCTTTATTTCTGTGTAAGTAATGATTCTTTTTCTATGGAGTGTTGAAACACAGTCCAACACTGAATGTTCATCAGAAAAAGCTAGTGGTGTCTGTGTGGTGATCCAGCGCTGGTATTATCCACTACAGTTTCATGAAACCTGGTCAATGGATTACAGCGGGTGTCTGCTGCAACCAACTGGACAAAATGATGAGGATGCTTGTGATTAAGCAGCTGAGATTGGTCAATAGAGACAGGCCAAGCCTCTTGCAAGACAACACGCAACACGTTGCACAAACAACTCTGCTCAAACTACAGAGACTGGACTTGGAAACTCTCTGTCATCCTCTGCATTTACCAGACCTTGCACCAACTGACTACCACTTCTTCCAGGCTTTGAACCACTTCTTGCAAGGAAAAATACTCAAGTCTCAACAAGCTGTGAAAAATGCCTTTTGCGATTTCATCTCCACTCACTCGCCAGGCTTCTTCGCTGCTGGCATAAACAAGCTACTGTTAAGATGGCAAAACTGCATCAATAGTTTAAGCACACACTTTGATTAATTGTGCTACTTCTTGTTTGAGATACAATAAACTACACTTTTGATTCGAAGTTGGACATCTCATATTTAATGACCTAATACTCTAGAACATCGTTACACCCCGTCTCTCTTACAGCTTCCTCTTCCACACAGCAGGTTTCCGCTCTTTGTGTTTGTAGGTGTTGCGTGTGAATCACAGTCAACAGAGATAATTACTCGCCTTGCAGTGGTTCTCAGATACCATGTTACTGAAACAGTATTTTTCCTTTTGAAACATTATTATTATAATTCAGAAACTTGGTTTTGTATTTAATAAAGAACTTTGTGTGCAGTTAAACCAATTTTCTCTCAGCAGTTTCTCCTCCGTTGCAGCCAATATTAGGAATGTTTGTGTGTACACAGTGGGGCAACAGAAGCTACCTCTCACGAGAGGTAAGAGTGAGAAGATTGGGTTGGCCACGTCCGTAGCAGTGCATACTTGAGGTTGGTGGTAAGCAGGAGAGAGGTGGTTAGGCAGACGGACTGACAGATTTATCCAGCCCTCCAGCCCTCCTCCGAGCCCCCACATCCCACGCAATGCGTCCGCCCCACTGGATTGTGGAGATTGGCGAGAGACAGGCTCCTTCATTGGCCACCTGCTTTGCGTGTTGTGCTTCAGTGTAAATAAACTCTGCAGAAACCTTGGACACTGCATGTCCCTAAACTGCTTTTTGTTTCCAGAGAGACTCTTTGTGCTTTGTTCAATCTTTTGTGCACCATCCAGTGTCTTTGGGCGAACGAGGTGCGCATTTCTTTTTGCCCGTAATGATCTTAATAATGGCTCTGATACTCATTGGCTGCAACGTTTTTATTTCTACTTTTTAAGTAAGATGCAGTGGACAGAGACATAAGAGAAATCAGCTTTTTCCCCCATTCCGTTTCTTCTTCTAAGTAACTTTATTACTGTCTCCCACTCCCTAGTTAATATAAGTTGCTTCTTTCATTCCTTTGCTTGCCCCTCTGAGGTCAGAAGTGACAGTAGGTGGTGTGGTGTGGGACAGCGATGGGTGGGCGCTGAGAGAGGACCGTTCCTGGTCATTGCTTGTGTGTCCTCCATTAACCTGAGAATCGTGTTCACTTTACAAAACTGCATCAAAGAAAACAGCATGTAAAATGTTCATGTGCATGTATTTTGTGCTCCAGGGATTGTAGAAAAATTAGTGAAGTTTGAAGCGTATTTCACATTTCTTCACGTTTATTTTCTTTATGATTCTTTAGCTTTGCTCTGTAGAGTTAAGTAGGAGTATTATGTACAATAGTTTTTCTGGGGAAAGAAAAACTTTTCCTTTCTTTCAGTGCATGACGACTTTCTGGGGAAAGAGAAGAGACTTAATTGGAAAGGGTCAATGACCTGTAATTTCTGGAATTAGTAGCAGTTAAGCAATGTTAATTTCAGTTCATCTCAATTAAACTTCCCTTTGTGATCTTTAATGTGTTACATATTTAACGAATTTTTATTTTAAATTTGCTGAGACTCACACATAAAAATTGCTACTCAGGTAAATTAGAATGATTTCTAAATGGCGTCAACAAGAGCATAGCAGCCAAACTTTCCAAGACGGCCAATAGTGAAGTAAGCCGACCATCTGCCTGAAAAGTAAATTAAAAATACTCTAGCCTCACGTCCTATTAGTATTTTCTAATCAAGTGGTTCATAAGAGCTAAATAAATAAATATATAGTGGAAATCCTTTCTGTTTTAGTTATTCCGTGAGGATCGATTGCATTTAACTTTTGTGGAAACACAATAATTACTTTGTGAAGTTTTCTTCTCAGTCTGCGTGACCAAGGTAGGATGATGTTCGGTAGGTCATGATCAGGCCCGCAAAGAATCAGCCTTTTAATTCGATTGCTGAAGATATTCCAGTGGATCCTTTGGGTTCATTTCAGAAGAAGATACTGTTTTGATATTATAGTGTTTGAATTCTGTGTAGATTTATTGCAATAGCCGAATAGTAGAATTTCACATGAAGCTTTTACATTGTTTGCCTCATTATATTTTTTCCAGAGATTACACATTCTATTGATTTCACGCCCCTCTCGGTACCGCACCGTGTGGATTAAATCTTTTGCTGCCCTGAACACATTTTATTTACGTGTATTTCTGCCCCAGAGAAAAGAATGCAAAATTTTGAGTGATTTGTGGTTCTTAACTTTTTCTTTCTTTTTTTTAAAACAGACTTTTAGTGAGTTTGAGATTGAGCAGCATCAAGAATGTGCTTATGACCACTTGGAAGTGTTTGATGGAGAAACAGAAAAATCGCCGATTCTCGGACGGCTCTGTGGCAGCAAGATCCCGGACCCTCTGGTGGCTACCGGAAATAAGATGTTCGTGCGGTTTGTCTCCGATGCCTCTGTTCAGAGAAAAGGCTTCCAAGCCACGCATTCTACAGGTCAGCACGTGAGGGTTGCGCTTTGCTTTTCTGACTAACATCCAGGTTTCTGATGAGTGTGTCTGGTTCAGTAACAGGGTTGTAAATAAGCCCCGAGGAAGGCAGGTGAAATCTCACTGAAGCAGGTGAAGCAATTCACATTTGCAGAACCACGAAGCTTCCTGCCGAATCCTTTGCAGTCGCTGGGCATTTGGGAAAAACCCGGTTGTTTTAGTCTGACTCGCGATCAATGCGGTACGGTCAAGTAAAACCGTCTCTCAGGATTTGTGTAACGTAGGTCGTATTAGCTTTAGCAGTTTGACTCACCTGCTGCGTGTCCCATACAGAAACCTCTAGCTCGGTACTAGAAAACTTACGTTTCATCCAGTAACCTACCTGGTTAGCTAACTCGTGCAATGATACAGTTTTGTAAATAGTCTGGGATTTATCTGTTTGAGAGAGCCGAATTTTTTTTCTTTCTTTTATTTGGTATGCAATGAGGATTTTTCCCCAATCCTAGTCTCTAATTTTTCTTTCATAGATTTCACCTGTTCTGAGAATATTTAAGAAGCAAAATTTAATTTAGAAAACTATAAAAAATTTTAGGACAAAATATAGAATAAAATTGTTTATAATTGGGAGCCAGTTTAATTATATGTTCCGTAAAATGTTTAGAGAATGTTCATTTTTCGTTCAGCTAAAAAAATCAGTTAATTGTCACTGTCTGCTCCAGTCACTTAGCTTATGGTGACACCTGGTGGCCTCGGTGACGCACAAGCGCTTACTAGACTGAGGTCATCTGCCCTGAGGGAAGACAGGATAAAAGGGTGTGAATACACCCAGGAGAGAATTTCAGTGCGCTTTTTTGTCATGGTTTCCTGCTGATTGTTTTTTGGCTTTTTCTTTGACTTTGTTATGGAGATCAGAATTTTAACTATCCTATTGTCCAATATTATTTTTCACTCTAGTATATTTTATTATGAGCATTAGATTTATGTTGAAGTCTGTGAGAAAGTAGATAGTAATTGTCAGGATAGTGATCTGATTTTCACTAGTAATGATTGTACTTCTATAAATAATACAAATTAATCCTTTCTCACAGTGAATGTGAATATAAATATTATGGTTTGAGAAAAATCTTGCATGGACCACAAAAATTTCATACTAATGAGAGATTTTCCAGACATTTGTCATTTACTATTTAAATGTTTTCCTGATAACTTTTCATATATTGGGGGGTGGAAAGATCAAACCCTATGACTTCGTCAGTATTTTCTGATAGCACAGAATTCGTGGCACATTGTTCAATATTTGGGCTATGACGGGTTCCAGAATGCCGTGTGAAAATACGCTGCCCAAACTTTTCAAATAGCTGATGATACAGTACTGTAAAATTACCTATCTCTAATTTTTTCTTTTCTAGTTTTATAAAAACGTACTTTTATAATGTCTCTTTTTATCCCTTGTAAGTCGGAGGACTGAGAGTGTGTTCTGTGTGTCGGTCCATCTGGGTTCCCGGCACAAGCAAGTGTGCCTTTACCCGGCAAGGAACCTTGGAGAAGACTTTCCTTTGAGTCTCAGTTTTCTCATCTGTGAAATAACCATCTCATGGTTACTCACGGCTGTAAACTCCGCGGCTCCCTAATGTGCGTGACTCCCCCATGCACCCCATTTTCCCTGTTTATATTTTGATGAACGTTCCATCGCTGGGATCTAGTTATGTGATAGTTACGTTGCGTCGAGAGCCAATGGTGTAGACGGCACTCGGGTTGCAGGCGTACGCACGCGCACACACACACACATACACACATGCACACACACGCGTGTGCGCACACACACTCTTCACGCTGAATCCTCGGGAGAACTGTATGAGACAGATACTATCATCTTCATTTTGCAGATGAAGAAAGTGAAAATCTGGATGGCTGATTAGTTTGTGAAGTTTTCTAAAATAGTGTCAAAGCCTGGATTTTGTCCTGATTCTGGCTCCAAAGCTAATGTACTTTCCGCTATAGCACATTTTCTCAATGTAAAACTTTTGGGAAGAAAACCAGTATAAGACTGTGTTACTGTTTGGAGGAGTGGGCAGACGCAGTGCTTCCTTACGTAAGTTTTAAGCAAAGCTTCTGTTCAAAATATATGACTGACGAGGCTCGTTTTCTTTCCCTGTTCACACCGACTCAAACACCCACGCGAGAGCCCCAGGCACAGTTCGTTTGGCAAGGTACACTTTGGATGTTGTTTAATTCTGCCCTGATATGGGGAAATTGAGCTAAAAGCTTAAACGGCAGCCAAAGGAGCACAAGAAGTCAGTGACAGTTAAAATTAGAGACCTGGCTTTCCTCTTGTGAATACTTTTTATATTATTTGCTTGTTTTTTCTGTTATGTATTAATAGACATTTTTGCTCTCAGTTAACCAGCTATCTTGGAATTTTTCTGGGTAGGTTTATTTTCCACTGAAACTTTCTGTAACAGTAGCCACGCTTGCTAAAATACTCCTGGGCACTGTCTGCTGTTTGTCTGCAAAGCATTCTCTCTGACAAGTTCATTTATTCTACAGCCTTTCATCAAATAATTATTTGGCGTCGGCTTTGAGTAAACAATGTGAATTTGTGGAAGTTTGTGGGACAATAGAAGGAAGTCCTGCCTGTTGGCAGCTTACACTCTGCAAGTCAAACTTCTGATTTTCAGTTTATCTTTCAGTTCCTGCTGAGGAGACAGCCAAGTGCCTGCCACATCCGCCAGCTTTCGCTACACGCACAGAGCCTGTATTCATGGCTCACTGTCTTCCAGAAGGCGGGTGGCTGTCTTTGACAGGCCCTCAAGTATGCATTTTAATTTACTTAAGTAAATTCATATTTCTCTATACAACTTTAAATGTGTCCACAAGAAAAATCTCTAATACTGTGAATGTTAAAGCCAGCTGCTGAGAAATATTGCCGTCGTGGCTTGATGGCCGTTCTTTGCAGTGCTGTCCAGGTCCAGGGAAAATGGACTTTCTTGGAAAGAGTCCTTTTTTTCTTCTGAAAGTTGGTCCAAATTCTAAGTCCAAGTGTATTTTAATCAGGTAACAGATGATATGACTCCTGCCTTAAATAAACTAAGTGCAGGAAACAAATCTTTTAGTGAAAAATCCTGTGTCTGCTCCCAGAGGCCGTGGCTGTAAAGCAGACAGACAGGAGGAGAAACACGGAGAGAAAATAATTTAAAGACATGACGTTGCCCCTTAGCCCCAGGGCTGCTGTTCTGCAGTGGGAAGCACCCTACTATTTGTCAGTGACATTTAAAAATCCGATAATATATTGTTAAACTCTCATAAAGGAAATTATTTTGATCTAAATCAGTTAAATTCAAATGCCCTGCTAAAAGCATTTACAGTTCAAATTGCAGGACCTCTCCTGGGATTTAATACTTTACCAGGAACCAACAAACAAACGCGTCTTTCTGAATCACAGCGAAGACCACCCCCGGCTTCTCCCCCTCCCGCCGTCCGTCTGTCTTCACTCTCCAGTTCCCGGACTCCGCGGAGCTGCCGGGGCACTGGTGCGGCGCCGCAGACGCTGGATGACGGCGGTGTTGCCACACGCTAAATACCTGGCTCTGTGTGTCTCTGACTTCGTAGATGGATAGGCATATTTGCTGAAAATGTCTTTTAAAAAGTCATCTTTTTTTTTCCAGTTTGTCATTTTTTATTTTTTGCTGTTGTTCATGGAAGCTTTATTCATAATAGCCCCAAATTAGCATCAATTTGAATGTCCACCAACAAGAGAATGGATAAAAAATTGTGATGTATTTAGATAGGAATATGCTTTGGGATATGACATACACTGGAAATACAGAGCAGTTAAAAAATGTAAACGGTGGCCGAACACAACCCCAGGGATGAGTCTCACAGACGTGACCAGGAGAAGAACTCAAACACAAAATAACATGCACAACTGACCTGTCAGTGACACGGTCCGAATGGCCTCGAGGGTTCTCAGAAACACCCGGAAACAGCTGCCCTCCGGCTGCCTGTAATTTTACGTTCCTGGAACTTCTCCCAGGACATATTAAAATCACATCTTTTGTGCATATAATATCCAAATGTTCATCCTCAGAAAATTCATCCTGTGGACTGAATTCTCCTATGTTGTTTTCATGGGTGGAGCTTGAGTCCAGATTTATTAGTTTCAGCCGGATCGTAGGAGCCAGGGTGTTCCCCGCAGCAGATCAGTGGAGGCGGAACTTCCTGCAGTGGTTTTCATCCTTACGTGCAGTTTAAGGCGTTGGCTTTTACGTGTAGGCCGCATTTCTAGAAGTTTTTATTAAAATCAAATGATGACACCTTTCTGTGACTGTCAGGGTCCCAAAACCTCTGTGAGTCTTTTTTCCTGTTTTAACGACTTCAGTCCCCTTGATGTTTGCTCTGGGGGCTGGCAGAGGCTGCCGTTCCGGGTCCTTGTCCCTGTGAACCGGGCACACAGACGGCAGCGAAACAAAACAAATCAGCCAATTCTCAAACTCTGAGAACAGGCAGAACTTTTTAAAATCTGTAAATGAGATTACACAGGTTTCCATGTTTATAGATTGCATTCGGAACTATTTTTCACGAAATATTTTACTGGCCTTCAAAAATAGAGCCTCCCCTGCTGAAAGCAGATGAATCGTGTTTTAAACTGTTGTTCGAGTTTCCTGGTGTTTGCATTTCATACCTGAGCGGATCATAGAGTGTGCATGGTGGCAGTGGGATGTTCTCAGTAATAACAGCGATAATAATAATAGCTTAAACTCATGTGGCATTTGCTGTGCCGGGTGCCTTTCGAGGCCTTGCATGCGCTTCGTCTGGACCCCGCGATGTGAGCGCTAGCACGATTCGCGTCTTGGAGACGAAGTTGTGGGGCTGAGTCCTGCGGCTGGTGGAGAACGGAGCTCGGGCTTGGGCCCGGCAGCCTGACGTGGGTTCTGTCTGAGAGGGCAGCGATTCTTGGAGTGACGCGGATGGGAAAAGTGCCGGGGTGGGAAGGAGGGAGCTCAGCTTCCAGTCCGTGGGACTTGGGAGGTGAAATCCCACGTCGCTATTTCCGGCTTTGGGAGCGTGTCCCCGTGTGCACCGTGGAAACAGTGGCACCTGTGCCAGCAGGCTGTGAGAGCCCCCACCTCCCAGGGACACTGGGCCTCACCAGGCAGCACAGCCCTGGGGCAGGCCGTTCTGTCGGAAGTCCGTTCGTCCGTCAGTCCACACAAGGGTCTCTGCGTGCGCAGTTCTCTGTGACAAGGTGTGTGGGCTCGGCCGAGCCCACGTGTGTTCGTATGTGCCTGAATGGGGCTCCGTGCCTGGGAGTGCAGAAATGTTTTTATCTAAAACCACCAAGCCACCTTATAGGCAAACCACACACAAATGTGAAAAATCCCAGTAAGAGTCTCAGCTGCCTGACCGCCTCCACTGAGGACCGTTGTCACAGACAGCCGTGACAGTGTCATAGCTGTGTTCCGAGAGCCCGTGGAGTGGCTTCCCCAGCTCTCACGACCTTGGAGTGTCCCTGGACGTCTTCATTTTAGCACTGAAATTCCTCTTCCCAGGAGACGCTAGTCCTCGGCAAACAGAGACGGAAAGAAGTCGACTCTCTCCTGACGCTCTCTATGTCTCATCTTTATCCACCCCAAGCCGTGCTTGCATGCGGGCGTGGCAGGCTCTTTCCCCGTGTGGCAGGCTCTCCATGGGCGTGGCAAGTTCTGTGGGCGTGGCAGGCTCTCCCCGTGGGCGTGGCAGGTTCTTCCCGTTTGCGTGGCAGGTTATCCCCGTGGGTGTGGCAGGCTCTCCCCATGGATGTGGCAGGTTATCCCCATGGATGTGGTAGGTTCTCCCCATGGGCGTGGCAGGTTATCCCTGTTTGTGTGGCAGGTTCTCCCCGTGGGTGTGGCAGGTTCTCCCCATGGATGTGGCAGGTTATCCCCATGGATGTGGCAGGTTATCCCCGTGGGTGTGGCAGGTTATCCCCGTGGGCGTGGCAGGCTCTCCCCGTGGGCGTGGCAGGTTATCCCCATGGGCGTGGCAGGCTCTCCCCATGGGCATGGCAGGTTATCCCCGTGGGCGTGGCAGGCTCTCCCCGTGGGCGTGGCAGGTTCTCTCTGTGGATGTGGTGGGCACTCCCTGTCTTTTTCATCTCCAGTTAGTTACAGTGTGGGAGCTCTGACTGCAAAGGGTTCCTGAGAAATGCTTTTGAAACCCTTTATTACCTAAATTATACTAGCAGTAGGTTTTATGCAATAACTGGTAGGGCACATGCTTATTAATGTATGGGGTAAAGAGCATTTAAAATTTGTAATTATAACAAACCACACATACTACAAGTGGGTAGGCTCGGGAATTATAAAGACAATTATAATCAATGCTGTGTGTCTGTTTTTCCTGATCAAGTTAGATAAATATTTCTACCTAAGTAAAATACTATTGTTCTGTATATTCTATTGTTAATGGAAAAAAAACCCCAAACTCTGTAAAATAATTTAAAGAGGTTTATTCTGAGCTAACACGACTAATCGCAGCCCAGGAAGACACAAAACCGAGAGGCTTTGTGTGTAAGTGATCGGAGACGGTCGGGGTGCAGTTTGATCTCACGCATTTCAGGGCAGGAGCTGCAGGTGAGATGTGAGTCAGAACACGGAAGGTGCACATTGGCTCGGCCAGGAGAGGCGGGTATCTTGGAGAGGGGCTTTCACGTCACGGGTGGATTCAGAGACGCTTCAGTTGGCAGTTGGTTGAGAGAGTTAAGCTTCGTCTGAAGTTTGGAGTGAGGAGCAGGGAACGCCTGGGCTGAGAGGAGGAGGTCTGCCAACCGCAGACGAGCCGCCGTGTACCCACTCAGAGAGGTCCGTTACGCAGATCGATGCTGCAGGCGACTTAACCTTCTCCTTGCGTGGCCTTCAGTTCTGCTTGTAACTTAGCATCTTGTTGCCACAAAGAGGCTGTTTCCTCAGTCCTAAGATCTCTGCTTTAACATTAACGTGGTCAGTTCTGTCTAAACGCCAAAGGGGAGGGGGCGTAATGAGGCGGGTCAGACCTCCCTCTCCATGATGACCGGAAATTCAGTTTTAAGGTTTTTTGGGGTCCCCTTGGCCAAGAGGGGGTCCATTCAGTCAGGGACCTAAGTCAGGGACTTAGGATTTTATTTTTAGTTTACACTGTATAGAACAGAAAGTTCTCTAACACACATACAGAGGAGTTTTATATATTTTGTTGATTTTTAAGTTATTTCTTTTTCCTTTGGATTTGGGGTTCTTTAAAATTATGAGGATTAAACTTGAGTGAATACCCTGGTCTTTTCTCTGTGAAAATAGTTACCTGAAAGTGTTAACAAAAATAGTATTAGGTATAACAACAAATTTATTGGGAGTTACTAGGTGGTGGGTTCTAAGTGATAAAGTGTTAAATTTATCACTTAGTATCTAAGTGATAAAGTGTTCTAAGTGTTAAATTTTCAAACCCACTAAGATCAGCACCGTTGTTATCATCTGTATTTTACCGTTGAGAAAACGGCAGCTCAGACAAGCAGCACCTCACACCCAAAGTCTCAGAGCCGGTCGGCGCCAGAGCCGAGATTCCCACGGGGCCATCCGCGCCTGGGCCTGGGCCTGGCCCGAGACGCTGTCTGACCTCCCAGCTGTGGGAAGCAGGGACAGGCGTTAGAGGGCGGTCAGGCTGCAGTGACGTTGAGGCTGGACCCGCTGAAGCCCCCGAGCTCACTCGGTCCGTCTGTCTATCCTGGGCAGAGTGCGGCGGCCGACTGAAGGCAGAGTCCAAGCCCAGAGACCTGTACTCCCACGCCCAGTTTGGCGACAACAACTACCTGGGGCAGGCGGACTGCGAGTGGCTGCTGGTGTCGGAGCGGGGCTCGCGGCTGGAGCTGTCCTTCCCGGCGTTCGAGGTGGAGGAGGAGGCGGACTGCGGCTACGACTTCGTGGAGCTCTTCGATGGCCTCGACTCCGCGGCCGTGGGGCTCGGTCGATTCTGTGGATCCGGGGTAAACACACCACCCACGGGACGTCGTGGCGGGATTGCGAATGCCCGTTGTAACATTTGCTAACTGGCAGTGCTTTGCAAAAAAGTTACGTAGTTTTATTAATGCATCAGCAACATATAACACCTCGCTCCTCCCTCTCCACTTCTCCACCCCTAATTAACTGGTCTGATAACTCAGGTGAATCAGGTGAAATTCAGTAGTTATAATCCGCTTCCACATTCTAACATTTATTGTGCAGTGAATATTTAAATACGTATTAATCTAAAATCAATATATGTAAACACATACTCTCAACAATTTTGTCACCTTCCCAAATTGAAGCATAAAGGGAAAAATACGCACACCGTTCTAGTTTCCGTTCCCTTCTCAGCACGTGTGTTTGGCGGGAGCGGCAGGGTCCTCATGGGTCGTGTTTGGCGGGAGCGGCAGGGTCCCCGCGGGCCGTGGGCTCAGGCAGCGTTGCGGGACTGTCGTCCCATCACAGAAGGTCACATGCAGGCGCAAGTGCCAGGTGCAAAGGTCACCGCGAGAAATCAGAGAAGAAAACTTAAGGTTTTCTCGATGCTTTTCCCAGGACTCATTGCGTTAATATTGAGTTGTCTTCTGAACACGTAATTTGTTCTGAAGACATTATTCTCAGTTTCCCAAATGTCCACTGGTATCTGTTGCTTAAATAATACCACTGGACTCCTGCCCAGATAGCAACTGAGGTCAAACAAAAACGCTTCTTGGTGCTGAGATTCTTAAAACAAGAAATAATGGAAATTTGGATTCTGGAAGAGGCTCTGCCTCAGAGCAGCTTCTGAAACAAATTTACTGTCTTTTTACCCTCTTTGAACCTCACTCCACTTATTTGTAAATCTAGAGAACTTGGCTTCAGGGTGAGGAGGAAACACCAAGTTCTTAGCGAGGAAAGTGCCAGCTCTTGGAAACAGACCGGTGTGTGTTCGAGGCCCGGCGACATCACAGACTAGCCGTGCGATCGCTAGCGTGTCACTTTCTTCTCTGATCTCATTTTCTCACCTGTAAAAGGAAGAAGTCAATTATATCTACTGTTCAAGGTTGTCAGGAGGATTAAGTTACATTCCAGAGAAAAATATTCCCAAACATGCATTGCATTGAAGAAAAAGTGATTCATTCTGATGTTTGTTTACTTTTTTTTTTTCCTCCAGCCACCAGAAGAGATCTATTCCATTGGGGATGCAGTTTTAATTCATTTTCACACTGACGACACGATTAACAAGAAGGGATTTCATATAAGATACAAGAGCATAAGCTATCCAGATACCACGCATACCAAAAAATAACACCAACACCTCTGTCGGAACGTGACGCGATGTGTGTGATGCAGAGAAGACTGATTTTTTTTAAACTGAAGGGATTGGCACAAACGTTTGTGTGATGAGTTTGGACACAAGACGATTGTAAGGCCAGAATTATCTGTCACTAAAGGAGGAGTTTGCAGCCAACCCTGGTCAGCGTCGCAGGGACATGCGGGCGCCCTGCTCGATGGCGTCGATGGACCCGGTGAGAGGGCGCCGTACGCTTCCGGGAGACCCGGCGAGCTTTGGTTCGCAGCCCGGAACCGACGCCTCGCAACTCAGACAGCGCAGCGCCGGAGCTGGGATCCCGCAGAGTGATCTTTCCGGCAGTTTTTCCAGATCTGACCGTGTGTCTCCGGCGCAGCGTGAGCCAGACCCGGTGCGGGTGAAACGGGAGCCCTGGAGGGCGGTTTGTACTTGGACCGTGCGCGTGTGCATCTGGTGTTTGGAGACTGGAATAGTTCAGCTTCGTTATTTTCACTTGCAGCCTCCTTAACCTCTTGGAAGCACAAGCGGCCCTGACACCAGTCCTCTGTACTTGCTGTGACGAGTCTGAGGTGTCAGTAGTGTCTGTTTTCGCAGCTAAACTCCAGACATCGTTTATTTAAGTGCTGGGAAACGCCCGTGTAATCGGTGAGCTCGGTTCTTTCTGTGGAAGCGCCGTCTTTTCGCTCCGATCCAGGAAGCCCGTGACGACGTCTGAAACCGACGTGCATACTCCAGGGAGGTGTGGGCAGAATTCTCCGGAACGACTGCCCGGGGGCTCACACGCACGTTCCTGCTGCTATTACCCTGGTGTTTTCCTCTTGTTGATCTGTTATTAATGTTGATGTTGTCACAGTTAATGTATCTTTTAAAAACGAAATGAAGCGGAAGTGGGCCTTGTGAAAATTGAAAGATCTCTCTCTTTTTTTTCCCCGGAATTCAGTTTAAAAAAATGCAAAGTTGGAAAAAAAGATGTGTTTCTGAGAGACTTCCTACGGTGCTATTCCATACATATTTTTTTTAAACAAGTTTTTGACCTTCGAGCCAGCCACTTGTAGGCAGAGAATGTCTCCCTTGTCTGGCTGGCGGCGTTTGAAGACTGGAGACTCGCTACTGTGTCAAGAGCACGTCTGTCATTCCAGGGAAGCCCTGGTCCCGGAGCGACCACTCACCATGCCTTAGGATTCTTGCACGCGATCCAGCACCTCCTCCTGAGACACCCGTCGAGGTGTGGAGCGTGACGCCGCGTGTTAATGAACAGCCCGGTGCGGAAACCCATTCGCATGACTGAGACACCGGATATGAATACGGGGACCTAGTTTCGTTGTAGAAAATGTAAGTTCAGAATGGATTTTCTGCTTTCAAGGCTTGTGTACTTTCCATGTTAACGTGTGTCTGAGTGAGGGAAGCCGCAAGGGCTGGAAAACAGTGAGTGGTTGAAAAGCTGAAACTCTGTGCCGAGCTCTGCTAGAATCCTGTTTGAGACAGCACCTCTCCGGGGTTTCATGGACGAGCGGCGAGAACCTCTGCTATCATCAGTCCCGTCAAGAAGAGTTCTTTCCTGTAAAGACACCGTGTTGGTGTTTTTGGATGTCGATGCAGATTCTGTTACCTGGCCATGAACATTCCCCGTTTAACACAGTTGGGTCTAGTCTTCGTTTCTACAGAAGGAAACTACACAGACAGATGCAGCTCATTGGTTTCTTCTCTCGTGGTTGCTCTGAAAACATCTTTTCTCGCATATGAATTGTGAAATGTCAGTACATTTTTAAAACCGATGTCTGGATCTTGCCGAATGTTGCTTTGGCAATGCCTAACTGCTGCCTGCGACGTCGGTGAGCCTTTCCGTGAAGCTGATCTATTCCAGCACCTTCTTCCATGTTTTCACTAATCTCCGATTAGTTGAAACATGTCAGGAATGAGGCAGAGAGGAGAAGAAAGGCGTCGACACCTGTCGTGGTCTGTACCCCCCACCCCTGCGCCAGGCGTGCGCACCCGCCTTGTGTACCCTCCCTGCCACGCTTGGAGCTTGGCCGCGATGTTCTCGTTCTGTCCTTCAGGAACTGAGGCTCGAAGAAGTTATCTTGGCTTTCCCAGGGTCACAGAGTTGGACGTCGAAACCCAGTTTGTCCGACAGCAGAGTCTGTGCTTGTTCTATGAAGTGTAGTAGAATCCATCTTGGAGTGAATCGATAGTAGATTTTTTTATGATGAAACTTCTCCACGTAAAGTCAATTTTAGGGGTGACTTAACAGGAAAACCTTCAGGATGAACCTTTTTTTTCCAGGAACAGCATGAGAATTAGAATAACAATGATAGTTACCTTTAAAGGCCAGAATTAGTGCTAGAAATTAAAAAACAAACTATAGTTTGGAGTTCCTGTGGGCCCTTGTTAAAATACGTATGTTAAGTTATTTCTCCTGGTCTGGAGGACACACGTCACGCTCCACACTGAGAAGGGTCCCGGACGTCCCGACCGCCACCTGCTTGGGCCGCGGCGAGCGTGCTGCACGCCACGGAGGAGGCAGGGAAGGTATCGGGAGCACACAGAGGTGTCTTCGCCGTGAACGTGAACTTTTGTTGTATCTCGTGTCAGACATCAGTTCACTGCGTATTATTTTTGTATTAATACAACATTTGCCTTAAACGTGTTGTTAAATGAAAATGCAGCTTCGTCGTTGTTGTGTTAATATTTGTTAGCTACTGTTCCACTTCATTAAATTAAGTTTGTAAATTATTTTCAACCCCTGCATCCATGGATCGGTTGTCTTTTTGTTCGCCAAAGTTCTAACTCTGATCTTTCTCACTGACTGCACACAGAAAATAACTGTTCTCACTTGATTTTATTAAATTATTTTTAAAAATCAATTTTGAAAATCACTCTAGTTTATTAAAGAGACCCTGACTTAACGTCGCTGTGCCACGCAAGTGAAGGAAGCGGTGAGCAGCCGTGATTGTGTCTACAAAGCCCTGCAGTGCCCACCCGCATCGGCTGGACTTTGCTACCTGGAAGTAATTTTAGTTCATCACAGTGTCAGATTCAAATTCTGTTTAATGTTTTAAAATGTCATGATCTCTTTTGTTTGGTTTCTATCACTGCTGTATTTTTGACGGGAAGCTTCAAAGATCAAATTTCGTTCTGCAATATAGAAAAATCTCTAAACGCATCAAATGGCTAATTTTATTCTTTATAAGGTTAAAAGTTACTTTTTAAAAGAAACACTAAATCACATCTTTATTTAGATTTGGAAGAACTATAACCAGGCGTGACATTGAAAATAACTTACCTAATAGAGTTATCAAAATATTTGGTAACTTTTATTTAGTAACAGTGGGAATAAGACTGGCTTTTTGGAGAACCTTTGATGTCACTTGTTAAATCTGGCTTGGGAGGCAGAAAACAGAAAAAACATAATTACCTCCTAAAGACTTATAATTTGAATTGCAGTGATGCCTTCTATTTTACAAGAACAAACATGCAGTATTAACTTATCCAGGAAAAAGGTGGTCTGTGAATAAATGGAAGCTTTTTATGCTTCAGTGAGCGGTAATTGGTTTCCAGTGAATATTTAGCTTTTGGTCTTTTATGTTATTGTTACAAAATTTAGAAACCGTCATTAGCTCAGGAAACAAGTGGTGCAAAAGTTGGCCGCGATACATTGTGAAAGAGCATTATTAGTCTCCCAGCTTTCTTTAGATGTCTGCTTTTTTCCTGCCTAACTTTCAAACTGCCGACTTTCCCCCACCCCTGCGTGCTGAAGCCCAGTGTGGCTGACCCTGCGCCCGCGTTCCGGCCACGCCTCCCTGCGGCAGGACCACGCGGGGTGACTTCAAAGGGATTATTGGGCCCTGAGCACACCTCACTGTCACCTCCCGCTCATCCGGCATTTTAAGCAAAAAAACGAATACGATAAACATCAATTCTGACTTTAAAACACACGTAGGTGGAAATGTATTTGAAAGGCAGTTGAGAAGAGAAGAACTACGGAGCCAACGTGCAGCCTGGGGCAGGTGGACAGAAGGTCATGACGGCAGGTCTTGCCTTTCCTTTGCTGCCGGGGCGGAGGGGCGTGGGTAAATAATGAAATTACTGCGTAACGATGTAGTATTTCTATATGAATACAAGCCAATGGCTTCACCAGTCCCTCTGACCTTACCCTGTTCCGTCTGTATTGTCCTTATAGCTGGAAAATTCGGTCTACGGCATTTTACTTTCGCCCAGCTTACAAATTTTCAGTGCATACTTGCATCTGAAATCAATAACAGCAACTAAGATTCTTCAGACTGATTTACACGGGTTTGAACATGTGCTCCATGCTTCTGTGGGCTTCAGATGCGGTTCCCAATCCTCGTGTCCTGTTCGTGTGGATTTTTAAGAGCTGACCTAAATGGGTCTGGGGTGGATACCTTAGTTTGTGCTCAAGGATGGATTCGTGGACTGCAGCGATAATGTTACCACGAGGCCTCGGGTCCCAGGCCAAGGGCCATTTTCGCCTGACACGACTTCCCCGTCCTCCCGTCCTCCTCTGGAACTGTTCCTCCCACGTTCACGTGGCCGGGTCGGGTGGCTTCGTGGTCCAGGTCTGCCAAGGAAAGCACCAGCTGGCTATTTCGAAAACACCTCAGACTCACTGCGTCCAAAGTGACGTCAAGATCTTTCTCACTGCGATTCTCTTTGAATGCACCGTCTCCACGAACGACGCCGTCTCCCTGCCGGTTGTGTGGGCCCTGCCCTCCGCGCTGTGCGGAAATCCTTCCTCCTCGCGTTCCACAGCCAGTTCCGTGCCAAGTCCTGTCGATGTTACCTCCTGAAAGTCCCAGATCTGCCCACGTGTCCCGGCTCGACTACAGCTCACCGGGTGTGAGTCCCCATCACGCCTCCTGCCCTTCTGTGATTTCTCTCTATGTGCCGGTCACCCCGGCTCTTCGTGTGAATCGACTGATCGATCCCTCTCCCTGGAGGCCAGTGCTACGACTACCCGCATCTCACCTGCCTGACAC